TCATTTACGAAATTAACGTACAAGGATGAAGGAGGGCGTTTGAAGTGGATATTGGAACACAAGAGAAGTAAAGCCGGTTTTGCGTAATGAATAATAGTTTAGCAACCAAATGTTACATGGCAAAAATTGAAACATTTGGATTATTGTCGAATGAGAGAGGCTTGTGAAATGCCATTTCAGTTTTGCTTTAAATAAATTCATTTTAGCTTGATGTTTGTATGCCGTTGACTGCCACTATTGCCTGCATTTTATAGTTTATTATATGATTTTATAGCTACTTATTTTATATTTTTGTTCTGTTATGGATACCATTAAATTTAAAGGATCTAGTTTCACTATATTTACCGATATTTAATATAAATGAATGAAATTTTTTGAAATTACAAGTTTAACACGTGTTTTTTAGGAGTAAGATCATTTTCTCTTTCATGAGATTATTTGCTCCATTTCGCTGGGTTAAGTTTCTCCATGTCGTAAACTCTAGGGGCAAGGCTTCTAAACCGGGTGTTTTTAGGGGTGTGATATTTAAATGACGATTGTTTTCAGCCGCAACATTTATCAACGTATGATCATTCATACGATGTGATTGGCGGGTAGGGCTGCATGATTATGACAAAAATCATAACTGTCGATTATTCCCTTGAAATTGTAATTGCGATTATTAATTACGATTATCACAATTTACATTGAATGATGTTTATACCATTGTTTGATGCAACTGCATGCCGTATTTTTTTATGAAAATAAACCAGCTGAAAACACTCTAACTGAAAAACCTTTAGTGCTTTTCTATAGTATTAAGCCTCACATGTGAAATATACATCGGATTGGTTTCTTCTTTAAATTATAAAAAAAGTACAAATATGAATGGTATTATAATGTTATACTAAAACAATGGAAAAACCCTTAAGATAACACGTAGAAAGAAAAAAACATATCTTAAGCGTGCAGAATTACATAAGTGGACTTTGAACGATTAATTGCCGCTTTGAACGATTACATAATTGTGGCATCCATAATTGTAATCGTGATTAGAAAGTTGATTAATTGTGCAGCCCTAATTGGCGGCATACGAATGTTTCATGAATCACATGTGAACCCTGTCATAAGTTGATTTAAATGAGGCCCAGTGTGACCAATTTGTGGCTCTGATAATTCTGATGTTAAATTATTAGTGATTTTAAGTCTTAAGATAAATCGCATTGTACTGAAATACTGATATATTTTGCATCCCTACTAAAAACATTCAGAGTACCTTAACAACCACATAGCAACACCCTGGAAAATTGTGCCCATGCCATTACCACTCACTCCCCCATATGATAACTTAGTGATGAAACTGACATTTTGAGTCAAATCTTTTCAAGTGATCGGTTAATCCAGTTCACAAAACTGGTATTTAATGGCTGGTTATGACCGGTCATGCATCTGGTTGCAGCAATTAACAGCTCAATTTCTTCAGAAATTGTAAATATTTCAATATTCTACTTTTCTGTTTCCTATCATATGACATTTTTGTAATCCATATTTACTGCACTGTTATGTATACATTTTACTCCATTGTAAAACTAGTAAAATTTTTAGTATGTAACATCTGTGCAGATCTGTTTTCTCACTTCACTAAGACTTCCTGTTTCAGTTCTACATATGCAATCCGACTAGTGTTAGACTAGTCTGTGTGTGTTAGTGTGCACTAGTGTTACAGCAGAGCAACTGATTCCAGGTGTTGAACCATATTGAGTTTGATGACTAAAACAAACATGTTTGACATACGCAGGGTCTGCTGTTTTACGCTCGTCACATCAATATCTGTACGCCATCATGTTCAGTTGTGTGTCAGCACTAGTGTGGCGTTGCTGTAAATGAGCAAGTGTATGTGTCTCCGCATGCTCAGCATTGGCAGTTTAGCTCACAGCCTTCTCCCATCCTCTCTCCTGTCATGTGCACACGCACACATACGCGTGCAGGCTTAACTGTGTATCATATCAGTGTTTGTCCTCCATGCCTGTGCTGAGCTCTCTGGGATAAGTCTGCCTGGCCGGATCTGTGTTGCTGAGGAGCTATAATCACATCCTGTTTAATAATGAGTTTACTCTTAATCTTCATTCCATTCTCAAATATTGAACAGACTGGGTGGTTTGCTGATGATATCAGAGCTTTTAGGCCTGATCACGGATCTTCTGTTCAAATCATGTCTTGTGACTATGTGGATCTTTGTGTGTAATGGTATAAAGACAACTGAAACAACTGAAGATATATCAACACTCAGTAAATTATTGTTCACCTGAAACTAGGGGTGTGCAATATTGACAAAAATGCTATTTTCTGGGGTTTTGCTGATAACGATAATTAGACAATATTTTGCTAAGCGTGTTTTTGTGCTAGTGCCTTGGCTGGTTGTTGACAGCTGACTCCTGAAGCTTACATTAATTTCCAGTGGTAGTTTTACCTTTAAGGGGATTTTTTTCTTTTCTTTTTTCTGTTAGATGTGTGCATCATCTTTTATGCCACATTCTCGCATTTAATCAGTAAATGCAACTAGAATAATACTACACTATCAGTATCAACAAAATCCATTTTTGCATCTGATGTGATATTTAGATCCAACAGTTTTAGGACTTCTGTGTGTGAATCTGCCTATAATGTTATAATGTTGCCAATGCTGCTTTTTCCAGACTGAGGAACCAGTGTTACTTTTGTACTTTTTAAATACTAATATAGTATTCATTAACATTTCGATATTTATATTTACTGTTTTCATTTGAGTAATTCTGTTCAGTTTTAGTTCTAGTAACTTTAGTTCTTAAAATGACTTATTTCAGTTAGTTGCCAAGGCAGCATTTCCATTTTTTATGTTTAAGTAATGCAATATAATTTATTTAATCTATATTTCAGTTACTGAAAGCTATTTTAAATTTTATATTAAGTGGCAGTATTAGCCCTTCTTAAATTGATTTCCAGTAGCATTTGCACATTTAATGTTTTTTTTTTCTAACCTTGTTATTTGTATGCATCATCTTTTGTCACATTTTTACATTTGATCAATATCAATCAAATTAAATCAGTATTAACTAAATCTATTTTTGCCATGCAGAAGTGGTACAGAAACTTTATCTGAAGTGAATTTAGATCTGTTTACACAGATTGTTTATTGCAGATCAGACGTGGGCTGAATGCATTTATTGTGCATTTACAAGTGCATAAAAGATGTCATGCAATTAATGTTTAAAATATGATGTTATAAATATAGACAAATTAAATTATACCTTTAAATATGAAACTAAAACCACCATTAGATAGTAGCAAGTCAGTGGCTTGATGGCCAAGCCATTCAGTCATTTATTCAACCAATTTGCTGAAATGGCTAAATAATTTGGGAACTAAGCATGTGACTTCGAATGGATCATTGAATCATTGAATCATTGACTCACGATTCGTTCAAAGCACAAATTCATTCAGTAACAAAACATCGAAGACACACAATAGTTCTGTTGTGGTTAATTGTGAAGCTATTTAATAGAGTAAAAACAGACAATATTGGCAAAATTGTGTTTAAAGTGTAACTCACGACATTACATTATTGTATATGGAATTGTTGGATAAAATAATTTTCACATTTGCAATAATGCTGAAATGCGTGAAAATCACCACTCTTGCTTGTGTACATGCTTAACTATATCGCATGATGTAAACATACGATTAAAACGGAATTTTGAGGGCATTTAAGTTTAACCACCAGGAGAATAAACATAATTAAACTCTGATTCCTATTTGATGTTACTTCCATTTCAGACCAGATGTAGCTGGGAAGTCCATATTGCTTTTTTCTGACCGAAGCCAGCGCAAAGTTAAACATTATGTGTCTCTGACCAAAGCACACTAATGTTGTTTATTTCTTGAATGAATCAGTGTTTTTGATCAAATCAGAAAGTAGCATTTAAATACTTCATCTGAATCCTTAAACTCTTCCAGAGAACTCACCTCCTGTGTTATCCCTTCAGAGGAAGTCTTTTAACATCTGCTTCCTGTTTTCCTTCGTTTTCACCGATCCACTAGCTGTAATGGTTAAATGTGTTTTATGTTCAGCGATGGAGTGACCTATGAGCCAGTGAGATTTCTTTGTGGACAGGGCCACAGAAATAGAAACTAAATTTTCTTGTCTCATTCACAGCTGGTTTAGATAAGAACTCAAATTTGCATGGAAGAGCTTTTATTGCTTGTCATTGTAGCATGTTGTGTCTGGCTAGGTCTTGTTGAGGCAAGTCTCTCTGAGTCAACATTCAGCCTATCTGTGACGTTCACTGGAAAGATTAAAAGTAAAATAACAAGAGAGCTTTCCCAGCAGGATGTTACTTATGCCAACAATTTTAGGAATTTTGCATATAGGCATTTGCCTTTAATGTTTTTGGGGTTGCCAACTTTTTCAGGCCCAAGAACCTGTATTATTTTAATATTATTTAGTAAACTATTGTAGTGTGTATTAATATTTTGAATATTTTGTCATGTGCTTTTTATTTCAATTTCAGTCATTTTAGTACTTAAACATATTTCAGTTATTTACCAATGCAACATTTCTCAATTTTGTTTTGTTTATGTTATAGAAATGTATAATAATTTAGTAATTATTACAATTACACTTCATTATTAATCATGTAATTATTCTAAATCATTTGTTAATCTTTAGTTAATGTTCATTCAAACAGTCATGAAATGTTATGAAATATATATGCCATTTATAGTCTAAAAGCTTGTATATCTGTCCCTGTGGGACCTTCATTGAACCCTGGTCTTATTGAATTCTCAAAACATCTTTTATGCAATTGTAAATGTAGAATAAATGCATTCAGCCCACCTCTGAGCTGCATTAAACAATCTGTGTAAATAGATCTAAATTAATTTCAGTTAAAGTTTGTGTATCACTTCTGCGGTGCAAAATTTGATTTGGTTGATACTGATTGGTAAAACTGACACTGATTGATTATATGGATCTTGTCTTACAGAGGGGCTTTTTCTGAGGTGATGCTCGCAGAGGAGAAGAGGACTAGAAAACTAGTGGCGATAAAATGCATCCCAAGAAAAGCTCTGGAGGGGAAAGAGAACAGCATTGAAAATGAGATCGCCGTGCTCCACAAGTGAGTCACCGAAACAGCTGTTTCAGTTCATTTATGGATGTGCACAACACACACACACTCACACATGTTAAATATCATCCCTACTAGCTGTATGAACAATGAGGCCCATAGTTGTAAAGTCCATTAAGATCTTCATCTATGTGTAACAGCCGTGTTATCTCAGGTTGAGAGGACAGTAAGTGATTTATGCGTGAGTTAAGAAGCTCGTGTTTAAATGTCTGGAATCATAAAGCTCTGTGGGAATGACTGAAGCCGGAGCAGCCGACGCTATTTTTAGTGTCTGGGTTGCCCGGGTTACCACAGGCAAAGAGGCACAGCGTTCGCAGAGAGATTTGAGGCGACATGTGAATGGGGAAGCACTCACAGCCTGCTGCAAAGTCACATTTCTCAACAATGCTGCTGGCACCACCTTAGACTTAAACTAGGATTTTAAAAATCAACTGCATCCTCATTTATTTAACTCTGTTGCAAAACCTAATGTGCAGACCTACTTAGACAGCTAATTTAAGGCATCATTGCTTCAATGTGAAGACTGTTCTAAAAGGTAGGCTGCAACATTGTGTTGCCTGCTAAGGTGCCTGATTTTGGCCAACCCCCCCAAAAAAGAGGGAAAATCTCAACGCGAGCTTGCAGGTGATTGGAAGAAAGGGCTGGAATTTATACAGACAAAATTATTGGTGAAATCCTGCATACAACATCATTGGAAAAAATCGGTACATGGTGGCGATTTCACATAAAGTGATGTGAATTTTTAAAATTTAAATAGCATAAACACCAGACAAATTGTGTGTGCCATCTTTTTTTTTTTTGCTTATTAAAATTGCAGTTTAACAGAAATAAAGACATATCTTTGCTTCCATACTGTCAAATATGTTGCGTTCAAGTCCTTCTCAAAAGTTTGTATTTAGTTGGCAAGTTGTAATTACTACGTCAGGTGTTTTCATGTCAGTTTTCTACAAAAAATCAACACCATTTTTAAACTCACCGTCTACAAAGTGATGAGTAAAGAATGCGCATCCATGTGTTTTTGCTTTTTTGTTTTTATTCAATTTATAAAGCTGCTGAAATATGAATTGTTTATGTATTCATATCTTTTTTAGGGCTGTCAGTCAATTAAAAATTTTAATCTAATTAATTACATGGTGTGGTGATTCATTCATTTTAATTAATCACAAAATAATAAAAACTGTGAAAATACCCACAGAAGATTATTTAAAGCTATTATTGCGTTAAATGAGAAAGTATCAAGTAGACATTACAAAAAGAACATAAAAGAAGATAATTTGAGAAATATTTTTTGTTCATACAATGAAAGGCACTGGTAACCAAAACAGCTTTGTTACCAAATCTTCAAAATACCTTATTTTATGTTGTGCAAAAGAAAGTAAGTTATTCAGGATTGAAACAATATGAGTGTGAGTAAATGTGAGAGTGTGAGAATTTATTGTATTTTTATTTATTCTTTTGGTGAACTATCCCTGTGATATTAATTAATTAATTAATTTTAAATAAATAAAAATACATTATAAAGAAGAAACTAAAACTGCCAGCATGTGGCTGTAAATGTCTTTATGATTCATTCATTCAATTCATTCAAACGACTGATTCATTCAGGAATTAAGAAAACGGCTCTATCTATGAATGGCCTTTTGAATCATTGGTTTACACGATTCGTTCAAAACGCGGATTCATTCAGAAACTAAACACTGGACACCTGAAAATAAAGTCTAACCCAGTACTCAAATGAATTAACAATAATAACCTTGCTTTGGAATCGTGCCATCTCTGAGTGCCCACGGTTGTGTGGGTCTGAGTGGTGTGTAGTTTAGAAGAAGTCATAGACGAGGCCACCACTATGCCTGAAAGGGGAGGAGGCGAGAAGGGGAGTGGGTGAGTGTACATGTTGCAGACAGGAGAGAAAGAATGGGAATGAGTGGAAGAGAGACTCGATGACTCATTCAGGTGCTTCTGTCGTGTCATTTTGCCAGTGGGGAGGTGTGTGGGATTCCCGGCTCAATTAGAGCCCACGCATGCCACACACAGCCCTTCTGTAAGTCAATGAAAATCAGCTGGGCAGTTAACCTTTGTGGGGGCAGTTAAGACTGAGACTCAGGGGTCATGGAGGATATATATGTTCTTCTTTAACTCTTCTCTATTATGCACTAGATTAATATAAAATCCACCCCCTCATAGACTTTAGTCAGAATAGACGGCATATTTAATTTGAATGAACACAAGGCTGTGTGGGAGGGAAGTACAGCCTGTTCAATATGTCACAAGCTGCGTTCTGGTTCTCAGGGTTCCTACACAGTGTTCACTGCTCCCTGCACTGATACGATTTCTGAAAGATTTTTTTTTCACATGACATAATTTGTTCATTTGGAGTTCCCTGAAATGTCATACAAGATGAAATGTCAGGATATATATACACTGCCGTTCAAAAGTTAGGGATCAGTAAGATTGTAATGTTTTTTAAAGAAGTCTCTTATGCTCACCAAGGCTGCATTTATTTGATCAGTAATTTTGCAAAATGTTATTACAATATAAAATAATGGTTTCTATAAAATATAATTTATTTCTGTGATGCAAAGCTGAATTTCCATCAGCCATTACTCCAGTGTAAAGTGTCACATGATCCTTCAGAAATCATTCTAATATGCTGATTTATTATTAGAATTATCAATGTTGGCAACAGTTGTGCTGCCAAATATTTTTTGGGAAACTGCGATACTTTATTCAGGATTCTTTGATGAATAAAAAGTTAAAAAGAACAGCATTTATATAACAGCAAAATATAAACAATATACATTTCTAAAAATATAAATCTTTGCTATCACTTCTTATCAATTTAACACAAAAGTTTGTACTTTTGTCTTATTTAATTTTCAAATATTGTTTTGCTTAAAATAAGTTTTAATATTGTGGTCCATCTTAGAGCTGGATGTTTTGGTCGATGGCTTTGAAAGTTTTAATTGAAGAATGTTTTGAAATCCCCATGGAGAAGAAAATGGATAGGGAAAATACTTACGGAACCACTGAAGGCAGCGGATTAAAATAAAGATGAAGCACTTTTCTGTTTTGTTGTTTTTGCCCGTTGCCATCTCGGTACGAGTGCTTGTGCCAGCTGCTCTGGAAATGTCACATTATGTTGTTGTTAGTAACATGTCTTACACTATGTTTATAATAGGCATGAGACATTTGATGGAACCAAATGAGAGCTCTCTCCCTCCTCCTCTGTCTGGTTTTCCTCTCGTTCTCTCTCTCAGTCAAAGCACTCAGACCTGGTTTCATATTTACATCACATCTCAGGCTATAGGCAACAGAAAATCTGATTCCAGATCCCCTTGGTAAATATTTATGAAGCATCTCTGGGTCAGTTTAACATTCTAGAACATTGTGGCAGAGATTCGTTTGGACGAGTAGAGATCTGGTGTCAGAACAGCTCTCATGGAGACAGACTGATTAAAGCTGTTAAAGGGGTGATATGATGCCATTTCAATTTTTCCTTTCTCTTTGGAGTGTTACAAGCTCTTGGTGCATAAAGAAGATCTGTAAAGTTGCAAAGACTAAAGTCTCAAATCCAAAGAGATATTCTTTATAAAAGTTAAGAGTCAACCACGCCTACCTAAAATGGCTCGTTCTAACACGCCCACACATGTCTACGTCACTATGTGGAAAGAAAGAAGGCGTAAATTTGATTCTCGCTGTAGTATTGTTGTTGCCGCGGCCGCCATGTCGTGAAGACGCTGTGTGTTTCGTTGTGAAAGCGAAACTACTTTGTTTGGCCTTCCAAAAGAGGACGATATCTGCTTCGTCATGCCTAGAGCTGATCCATGCTGGTTGGTGAGGAAATACATCAACTTCGTGCTGTGGATCACCGGAGTGATTTTCACCGTGGATGAAGCAGAATCCAGCCCGGGGTCGTCACATGTGGTTGCCGCAAGCCTGCCGGACGCTCCTTCGTCAAATCCATCTGCCGCACCGTTCTCAAGCCCGCCCGCCCGCCGCCGCTCACTCAAGCTGGCCTCTGCTCACTCTAGCCCCCGTCCTCCGCTCACTCAAGGCCGCTGTGTGTGACGCTGTGTTTCGTTGTGAAAGCAAAACTACTTTGTTTGGGCTTCCAAAAGAGGACATGACTAGAAATCAGTGGTTAAGTTGTATTTACAACACTGTTCAAGGACCCTTCAACCCAAATATTCAGATGTGTGCAGCACATTTTAAGAGTACTCCTGGAAGAGTAACGTTAGACTAAATGCCGGCAGTTCTGACTCACGTAAGTACGTTTTC